TCAAGGAATTTTCCATATTAACAGAGAATCTCTGTGAGCAGTTTGAGGTTGGTTGTCACAAAATAGACCTATAAAGAATGAAGAAATCAGTACTTATATACAAAATGTTAATGAGCGTTAATTAAGTACGAAAAAAGGTAAGCATTGCTGTTAATGTTCCATTTTAAGCCTCAAGTATCAGAAGAGCATTCGTTTTCATCAGGCCTTGGATTCTGAAAAGAATACAGAGCTAAATATCTGTTCTGAATGAAGTCTACCTGGTCTCATTCAAGGGCGATAGACATTAAAAGAGACACATTTCAAATTGCAAATCAGTGAATTTATCTTTATTCCATATATACAGTGACTAGAGAAGCAACTCATACTTAGGAGAGAAAGAAATTCAGAAACAACCTACACTCAAATGCTACAAAGGCGTAACAGTACATAGGTAGATGACAGATGGCTAAAAGTTTATATTAAGATTTTCTTTTATGCTACTTTATGAGAACGCATTTCATTCAAAGTCTACACAATATAACAAATAATTGACAAAAATTATAAACATAGACTTGAGACACTATCAGAGAATAAAACTATATTAAGTCAGCAGAAGAATGAAGACATTTTACTGAAATTGAAGGACAATTGATTCAGAGAAAAAATAATTTTAACATAATTCAGGGTTTCTTTAAAGTTTTAATGATCACAAAGTGTTAGTACCTAACTCCCAAGGTAGTAAACAGTGGGGGCGTAGCAGCAATTAATATAAGTCTATAACCACAAAATCTTATTCTGCATGTCAAAAAATTCATGTGCTTAACTAATGATCCTCACACCATTGTATTTGTCTAAAACGTTCATCTACGTTGTCTGTAGCTTAAGGCTTACACTTTTGCTCTTAATAGAAGAAAAGGGGCTGCTTAACTAAGCCTCCTAACCATTAAAAACAATTGGTTTTACAGCCACTTTCACGTCCCCCTCAGAGAAAGCTACCACAAAAAAACATCTACTTTGATGTGTTGTGGGGCTTAATCAGACATTCTAGAGTCAACAAATGGTAAGAAAAAAATCCCAATAAAATGGGATCTCAATAAAATGTTTTAAAAAAATCGTAAGTCCTTTTGATAGAGTCTGAGTTCCATGTTTGTAGAGATTTTGGAGATCTGCCAGTTGTTAAATAGGATCCAGTTGGTGTGGACTGAAGGATTCCTGGCAGCAAATCAGGACAGAAAATCTGACCAAATAATGTCTTTTTGAGTAAGTGACAGCTAAAATCTGTTCTCTGGCTGCTACTGCTGAGAGCAAATGGGCAGATATTTTATTTAAACATCTAAGTGTGAAAGAAAGTTGTCATTTCCATGTTCTAAAGAGTCCAATAGAAAAAAAAAACGATTTTTTTCATCTATCATTTTTCAATGGAGTTTGTCATTCTAGAAAAAATTATCTATAAAATAATTTTTAAAAACTCACCTATTTTTTTAAAAAATAGGTTTGAAATTTCATGTATATTCAAAGGAAATATTATTTCTTTGATGCCACTGTTAATTTTCAGGAAAAGTAAAGCGACTGAAGCAAGCTAAGGAAGAAGCAATGGCAGAAATTGACCAATACAGAATGCAGAAAGATAAGGAGTTTCGGCTGAAGCAATCTAAGGTAAGAAAGTCAGCGCTGATTTTTCTGCAGCCTAGATTGTAAGATACTAATGTTCATTAGGTGTAATGGAGGATATCAGGAGGGAAAAATATACTGGGATCGAGCAGATACAGTTCCACCGAGGCTGAATATGAAACTAAATCTTAAACATAACAGAATTACCGATTTTACATTTTTACTTTCAAGGCATTTTTAAATTGTCATACAAAGGGTTAATTCATAGTTATTACAAAATATATAGTGTATACTAAAAATCATATTCTCAAATGCACAAGTTGCAGGGATTAAAATATCATTCCTACCACAAATTATTGACTAACAGTTTAGCAAGAAAAATCTTCAGAAAACATGTTTTTTTTAATCTATTAATGTTTACTAGTAGAATCAATGAAAAGTATTGCATGCTAACAAATAGGATGAATTTGTTAGGCCAAGTTTCCTTTGATGTATCCAACACTCACAAATGACCAAAGTAGATATTGTTGCAAATTGCTGAAAAGCCTTCTGTTATTTCCTTATGATTTCTTTTGCAACTAAATAGCTCATTCAATACATCTTTCATTTGCATATAAAGAAATGCTTTCTCCTACACTGGCATTTTCTAAATACCTACAGTTTTCTATAAAAAATAAGTGCATGAAATTTTCAGAGCCAATATCTTCCTTTCCATGTTGCAACATGAACCAAAAGAAAGTGCTAAACTCCATGTGTCATAACTAAAGTTTATATGATATTTTCTTTTTGTCTCAGCAAAAATATAAATAAAGCCCTATGCAGAAGACTGACTTTGCAAATAAATTACGCGCAGTTTGGAAATCCTCATTATTTACAACTTTTATTTTAGTGGTAATAGGTGAGCTCACGTAGGATCAGATAAATTGGACCCCATGGTAGGAAAAACTATTCCAGTGGGCTCTATCTTTAAATAAAAAGTCCTTCCTAGAATAAATTGGCTCACTCAGCAAAAATAAATTCTTTTTACTACTATTTAGAAAAAGAAATTCTAAAATCCTTAGCCCACATGGTCCTCCATGATTGGCCCTCACCTATCTCCCCAATCACATTTTCTACTTGTTCTGTTGTAGCCAGACTAGTCTTCTTGTTTTTCCTCAAACAGACAGAACATGTCACTGCCAAGGGGCCTTTGCACATACCAGTCTCACTCCCTGCAATCCTTTTCTTTTAGACACATTTATCTTTGATCTCTGGTCAGCTGTTAGCTCCTACTTTTGATCACCTTATCTAAAATGATCTCTCATAAGTAAAGCAAAGTAATACTGCATTATGGTTTATTCTTTTTCTTTATAGAACTTAGCACTATCTGATATATCATGTATTTACATTTTGTTTGTTTGTTTGTTTATTGCCTATTTTTCCCTCTGGACTGTAAAACCAACACAGCAGTTTCTTTTTCTTCTTTCTGTTTTTTTTTTTTCTTTTTAATTTTTGTTCTCTATTGTTTTCCTAGACATTAGAATAGTGTCT